ATTTATCTTCCAGCGCTATAAAGATGCATTTAATTTGGTATGGGTATTTTCAAATTATTTTTATCCATGGCATACTGTCCCAGAGGGTTTTTGACCCCTCCTGGGCTGCCAGGCAGCGTAAACATGCCACCGATGTTGCATCTTTGACCTGATCTCCTAAAGAGGAGTTAATGATTGGTGTAATGGGAGTGACTTTTATAGCTTCACAACATCTCAGACAGGTGATTTGGTTAGTAGCCTCACAAGCAGGATGGCGGCTATGTTTGTTTATATAGTATACAGATAATACAGTATGAGTTCATGACCTTCCATTTATTTTGTTTCTCCTTTTAGCTTTACTTACTTGTAATGGGGGAAAAAAAGAGACCCTTATGTTCCACAGCAAACGCCGCTTACATTCTGGAACCGGCTTCCTGCTACGATTGCATGCCACGTGAAGGCAAAAAACACGCCATCGCTTGTAGTAACACAAATCAAACGATGCCGCACTCCATGGATCGTCACCAAAATTAAAATCTTTATTTGCAAAACGGGTGCACGCTGTTTTTTTTCCTGTCCATGTATCCTTAACCTCTAACGTATTTCACCATGTCAGCTTACTCGTAGAGAGACTCGGTCTCTATCAGTAAGCCAACATGGTGAAACATATTAGAGATTGAGGATACATGGAGAGGAAAAAACAGTGTGTACCTGTTTGTAACTAGGGCTGAAACCAACTAATCAATAATGAAAAACGTTGTAAGTTCTTTCCTCCGTGATGGGAGCCGGTGTTTCATCTGCTTCCAGCAGGGATTGGAGGGGACACAGACCCCTGCAGCTAGTGCTTTCCCATCCCCGGCGCGGTAATGGCTCTGCAGCTTTCTCCTTCTGGGAACCCACTGCATGCTGCAGTCTGTGTCCCCTCCAATTCGCGATGTTCTCTCCCGTCTGTATCGGTAGAGGCAGCGGGGATCAGAGGGGACACAGACCCGATCCACCTGCCAGCGGGGAGGAGAAAGCTGTCGGGAGGCCAAGTGGGGCAGTGCGGGGAGGAGAGCTGCGGGACGATCAGCAGCTATGTGAAACATCAAACATCACACTGATCAGTACTGATAACTACAAAATAATTGAGGACATAGTATTGAGATACTATGCCCTACATCACTTCCTGTTCATTCATGATTGTGGACATAGTAGCTGTCTACTATCTCCTCTCCTCTTTATGAATGAACAGAGAGCCTCTATACTGAGTGCTTCCTGTTCATTGAGTGCTGGGGCTGCAGAAAAAGGGACTCTGAGTCCTCCTTTTTTTTTTTTTATATTGTAAGAGGGAAATATCAGGTGTTTGTTTAGACCCCTGATATTTTCCAAAAGCCCCCGGCAGTAAAAAGAACAAATAATAAAATAGTAAAAAAATTATTTAAAAAAATATTCCAACTATTAAACAAAACAAAAAAAACTAGGTGGGAAAAAGTCATTTTCGATTTCGGCCTGACATATTCTGTTGCAGGAGCTGCGTTGCAGTGCCATTCATTTCAGTGGCACCCCTAATGCACCACCCGCACTGGATCATGCGGTACTGCAATGTCCTGCGTTTCATTGTGGTGCGATTGCAAAAAATTGTGCATACTTTGTTTGTTTGTAACACTCCATTTGTGTATTTCATTTTAAATAATTGAGGCTGGAATGTAATTTTTTTTAAATCGGCCAACTAATCGATTAAGAAAATTGTTAGTTGCAGCCTTAGTATTAACCTTGGTGAAGACCCATGGAGTGCGGCATTCTTTGATTTGGCTAAAAACATAACTGTGGTCACAATCAAACCCCAGTCATATAAAAAAAACTAGATACACCCCATGAAAGTTGGCTTTCTGAACATATTTGAACAGGCATCGTTCTTTATCTAAACCGTGACTACAGATGAAGGGGATTTACTTGAATAAGAAGACAAGAAAAAAAAAAAATTGCCTTTTTCAACCATTTATTCAGCACAAATATCAATAGATGTAATGGTGTACTGTGCAAAATGTAAGCACAGACTTGGCATCAAACTGATGTTGACCTTTTGTATCAGAAATGACTTGCATGCGGCATGTAAGCGCCCACAGAAGCTGCTTCTCCCGCTGTCATTCGACAGCGGATAGCAGCTGCTTTAGGCACACAGGTGATCGTACCAGGTTTGTGCCCTGTGATTGGTTAACACAGCAATCACATTTCAATGTTTACATTGCTAAGCCTGTCCTCTTACATCAAAGACATGGAAGAGTAAAAACAAGTCATGAATGGATGAGTCATCCATTCATTACTTCCTAATAAAATCAAAGTGCTGGAGCAGAATTAACCCTGCTCATGTTTGCTCCAGTCTATCTCTGGAGGGAGGGTATACAGGGAGAGGGAGGGTATACAGGGAGAGGGAGGGTATACAGGGAGAGGGAGGGTATACAGGGAGAGGGAGGGTATACAGGGAGAGGGAGGGTATACAGGGAGAGGGAGGGTATACAGGGAGAGGGAGGGTATACAGGGAGAGGGAGGGTATACAGGGAGAGGGAGGGTATACAGGGAGAGGGAGGG